TGGTCTGTTATAACTGATCATTTTATGCTTGGTGTTTTGACTGCATTATAGGTAAGAGGGCCTGCTCTGCAGAATTCAGCCATGGACAAACGTGAATTGCCTCTGAGTAAGGCAAGCAAGCAAACAGCTGAAATTGCTCAGCAGTTGCCAGGGAAGCTGTGTGGGTGCCTTCTTTCTTTCATGGCATACAGGCCACCTCTGGGCGTGTCACTGTTAGTTTGCCTCAGTGTCTATTAATAACTGATTTTCTTTTCAGCAATGGCATCACATGAAAGTTGCAGGAAATTAAGTTCCAAGTGAGCTTTGGACCAGACCCTCAGCAAAGACAGAATGTGTACATATACTATCCCTTTATCTGTTTTAGAAGGTTGAAGATATCTGCCATCTTAAGCCATGACCACCTGTGCAGAGAGAGTCATAAAAAGTACATGTGAAAAAATTGTATTTAAAACATTTTTAGGTAGCTTTATTGCAAATCACATGCTTTCCTCTGAGCAGTAAGAGTGGTAAGACACTTAAAATTTTTGTGTCAAAACATTGCTGTCTAAAAGCTAGTGGATTCCTTGAACTTCGATGGAACTGCTTTCAGTAAGCAAAGTAGGAATTTTGTATATGAGAAGATCTAAAGTCTCCAGGGTTTTATCAGTTATTTTGGAGAAACAACAGAGCAGTTTCTGGTGTAGAAGCTTTACTCTGTCCCTCACTTCACTGAGGCAAGACTGGGGAAGAGCATTCAGATCAGGTGAATCTCTTCTATCAGTCATTTACAGCCTTTTTTGTGTTTGGGCAGTAGCAGGTGGCTGCCTGTGACTGAGGTTGTTGCCTGGAGGAGTAGATGAAGACTGTTTGCCTTCTGCTTCTGGGAAATGGAGAAAGTAGGAATGACCATGGGCTGATGCAGTTTGGGAGGGGTCTGTTTCAAAGGCAGACCTTTCTGTGGCTATGCTGTGTGAAGTCTGGGCTCTTGGCACCGTTGCTCTGGGAATCTCCTCTAAGCAGCTTCTTAAACTGATCACACAGTGCTTGGAGGTGTCTGCACCCCTGGGCTGGATTTACCTGGGAGACCCTGCATGGTGCTAGTGTTGGATGGGCCAAGCTGCAGGGTGTGAAGGGTCTCATGTGTGGTGTTTATCCATTTCTGAGCCCTTTACAGCTCCACATAATGGTGCTGTGTGGGTAAGGGGGAGTCTGACACATTACTGAAAGTATTCCATTTCCACAACAGTGAGATTTGTTTTCACATTTCTGTGAGCAACTGGCTGCCTGCAGTGCATCAGGCTTGTTATTTTAAGAGCTGCATTCTGTCAGGTCTTTCATGAGCATTGTCCCATGTATGAATTAGAATCTCAGTGGTGCCTCAAAGTGGAAGTTTTCTCTTTTCTAACATTTCCTGTCTCATAAGCATCTTGGTTAATAAATTATTCCATAGACCAGGTGTTTAGGCTCTCACATTGTGATGTGCAGTTTCATCTATTTGGAATTTGTTTGATTTATTCTTTCACATTTTAAGGCTTTTCCTGGTTACAGATAGCCCAGCTGTTCTTCAGCTGCCTCTGAGTCTTGCACTGATCACCACTGTTTTGGCAATCAGTGAGTCTATGACAACCTGACACAGCTGGCATGTGTCTACCTAGAAGTCTGTAAGAGCCATCCACTTTGAGTGTTTGTGACTCCTAGATGTGGCAAGAACGTTCCTGTCCAGTGTAATAGCATTACATAATTTTTTCTTCATAGCTAAATGAATTGCCTTGTCTTTCTGTCTGATAGCAAATTCCATGTTCCATTTACAGTAAATCTTTCTATTCTGTAATATATGCTAGGCTTCAGGTTTTCCTTTTCATTATTTAAAAAGAAGTGTTATTGATAAAAAGAAAATTAATGTGTGTCATGATGATTGGGAGAAAAAATAAATATATTGAAGCTAGGCATTCATCCCAATTAAACCTCACCATTAAGAAGTACTGGTGGGGAGAGGTAATTCACAAAGTGTTTCAGGAAATGTGAAATAATGTTGGGGTTTGGGTTTTTTTTTTGCTTGCTTGTTTTTTAATTAATTCTCTTTTTGAAGTGTGGGTCTTGTGGTTTTATTTATTTTCTTCTTTTCTTTTTTTTTCAAGAATATAATTAAATTTCTTGTTTTCTGAGATTATTCCTCATAATAATTTTTTCTTGTAATACTTGGTTATAGCTCATCTAATGGTAGTCAGACAGAATTGCCTAGTCCTATGACCCTCTGGACTTAAACCTCCTGGAATTCACATTCATTGGCTCCAAATACACAACATTTACAGATTCCTAGGGCTGCTTTTGCATAGGTGTTTTGAATGGCTTACTTCAAATTGCTGACCACTAATCCTAAGCGGGGGTGGGAATGATGTGTGAAATCCTTAATATATGGACAAAATCAATAGAATGGTTGGGTTGGGAGGGACCTGAAAGATCATCTAGTTCCAACCACCATGCCCTGGACTGGGATGTCTTCCACTGGGCCAATGTTGTATCACGTGTTGCAACACTATCATGTCCAGGGAGGTGCAGCCACCAGTGCCCAGCGTGGGAAATCAACAAGATGGGTCTCAATTTCGTTAAACTCGAGAATCCATTTATTGGGATATCACCAGCTCAGGAATTAACCCAGCATGAGACAGAGAACCCTGAACAGAGGCAGGGGGGTGGGTTTTATGGGGTCGAGCTAGGGTGGAGTTTAGGGTCTGGGTCCAACAGGGACAAAGCAAGGGAGATCCCCAGGAGCATAAACCAACAGGGGTACAATAGGAGGGCTTAATGCAGCAGAATACAACGAATAGCAACACAGGAAGGGCAGAACACCTCGGGCTGGCACCCCACAAGGGATTTGGGGGTGGAGCAACTCTTCCTGGGCTTTAAAGCCATGCCTCTCACTTTAACACTGCCTGTCAAATCCCCACCTCTTTGGGTGGGGGCACTCCACAGGCCAGGTTGCTCAAAGTCCCATCCAGCCTGGTCTTGAACTCTTCCTGGGATGTGGCATACTCAGCCTCTCAGCATAACCTGTTGCAGTGACTCACCACCTTTACAGTAAAGAATTTCTTTCTAATATCTAATCTAAGTCTACTCTCCAGTTTTCTTGTAGCTCCTTTCAGGAACTGGAAGGCTGCTGTAGGGTTTCCCTGTACCCTTTTCTTCTCCAGGCTGAAGCGAAAAAGCCATTGAGTACCTCACAGCCTTCTCCATGTCCTTTGCAGCTGGTCTCCCCTATCCTTCCTGAGGGGACCCATATTTTTCCTAGTCATTCTTTTACTCCTGATGTTCCTAAATAAAATTTTTAGTACCCTTGAGCAACATCATAGCAATACCCTGACTTAAGGAAGTGATTGTCACTGGCAGTAGATAATGAAAGCAGGTGCAGTTAATGGCTGTGAATGTGTGTGTTGCAGATGCTGCAACATAATCAACCTAAGCTCTTCTTCTGTTTTCATGTGAACAGATACCCTTAATAGTAAGAAAAAACTTCCACAAGTACAACTTCATTTTTATATCATCTTTATATTATCTCTTACTGGTATATTCAGTATAGCAATTACAAAACCAAATAGGCTGTGCCTACCAGAACCATTATCAGCCATCATTTAGCATACTCACTAAAAATGGCTTATTAGAATTTTAATGTCTATATTGGTTTTTTTTAAACATTTATTAGAGTACCTACTAGTTGTCAGCTGCTGACAATTATCAAAGAGATTACCAGTTGTCAGCTAACATGCAAATAACCTCCTGGCTTGTCAGAATTTTAAGTAATTTTTTAAATTTTGCCCTTGAACAGAAATGCCAAATTCTAATGATTCTGTTTTGCAGTAATGAGGGAGCTGACAACAGGATGAGGTTGCAGCAGGCAAGGCTGGGTTTGAGCAAAAGCTGTAATTGGGATGTATTTTGATGCCCTTGAGAACTAAATCTCCTAACTGAACTTCTTATATCCCAGAATATTGTAAGAGTTTTTTTCCAGACATCATCTGGGTAGGGGGTTGAGGTGGAGGGTCTCCCAGCATTGCTTTTTGAGGGGTAGCTTCATTATATAGAATAGGTCAATTTACTGGGTCAAAAATGTGATTAGTAAGAAACTTTCTTTGCAAAGCAGCTCATACAAGGACACTTCCAGGTTGCTTATGTATACAGCTGTGTAAGTTATTAGATTTCCCCAGTACTCCAGACACTAGAGAGGGAGTTTATTTTCATACACTATGACTGAGTGCTGCTTTCCCTTTGCATTTTTCCTTTTGGTGCTTCGGTCTGACATAATTTTATTATGTCAGATGGCAGTTGCATTGTACATTTCAATGTACTTGCTTTTACAAGATCAAGCAGCTAACTTGGAAATCCGGAAAGGGGTTTAATTAATTGCTAATTTTGTTATTCAAACATGGAGACAAAAGGAGTAGAAAGAATATGTGGGTAGTTTAGGAAAAGATTAATGGTTTCATTTTGTAGCACGGATGTTTGTATAAGCATTTACATTTTGGGAAGCTTGTGTTAGTGTACCTGTTCTGAGGTTTCTCTGGGTGTGCATGCTTTCAGAAAAGAAAAGGTGCATTTAGTCTTTGCGCACCTTCTTTTCCATGTAAAATCTGTAGCTGAACTTTAACACTCCTAGAATGTGTATGTTTCAAAATCTAATATTTTAGTGAGCTGGAATTTATGCAAGTTGTAAAATCCTCACAAAGATGGCAGCAATTATTTCAGTCTCTTGTTACTGTGGAATGGTCAGCAGCTGTCCTGGAACATGTCCTGGTGCTATCTGATGTCTTGGCAGCTCCTCTGGGGCCCTGAAGACAAGCAGCAGAGTGTTGGTGGCAGGCAGGGAGTGGGTAGAGCACTTCCCCTGCCATGCTGCAACTTCCCCCTCCAGACAGGAGAGTGGTGGGTGAGAAAGGAGGGTTGCATGGAGATGCTCTATGAGCCTTGTACCTTGGTCAAGCAGGCTCTCTTCCTACTGACCCTGTGGCCCATTTTGCTCCTGGCAGTTCTGCATGGACAGGTGTATCGCTTCTGCACCTTGGACGGGACCTGGCTGCTGAAGGAGAATTCGACTCTGCCCTGGAGGAACCTGTCTGAGTGTGAGCCCTCTGACCAGGTAAGAGTATTTCCCATTTCCCCCCAGTCTTGCTGCTGTTTAGGACAAAGCAGAAGAGAGGTAAAAAAATAGTTGTTGATGCCCACACCTTTTTGTCATTACTTTTTGTCAAAGTAATCTGGACTCAGTGAGCCTAATGGTAAGGGACATCAGATCTCTTCCCTTCAACAAAGGGAACATGGAAAGTAGATGAGAGCACTTTTAAATGTACGTAAGAACCAAGAGAAGTGACTCAGGTCATCCCAGCTGTGGTGCCGTGCAAGGAACTCAACTGTGAACATTTGCTCTTTCTTGTTAGCAGCTATTAAGGTAATTAAGATGAACTGAACTGAAGAATATTTGCTTTTTCACCTTTGGGCATGGGGCAATCCCTGCCTTTTTTTTTTGTTTAATGTTTTTTTTGTCTTTATACTTCATTTTCTGTGGGCAGTGGAATTAGGCTTGTCAGTGTTATTTTCTTGCCCTCATGCTTTTTACTCTGCAGGGAGCTGAGATGCCTGGCACTAAATGGAGAGCACAGGGATTTTCAAAGGATTTTTAACAGTGTTGGCGTCAGCCAGCACACTGTGTGCATTCCCATGACACGTGATACCACTACTACTGTGAACCTCCAAGGGCGATGCTTTCCCTCACAGAAATTGAGTGCACTCTCTCTATCCCAGGGTACTGGGAACTAGTGCATTACCTAGTCAAAACAGTTCAAGTTTATGAAAGTCCCAAGAGCTTCAGTATCTATACTTTCTGTAGTTTCCATTGCTCAGTGCCTCATTCTTCAGAAAGAATAAATGGCTACAGCCTAGGAGAAGATGGGAAAAAAGAGAGTTTCTGTTCTCCAAATATATGAATTTTAACCTTTTTTTTTGACTTGCAACCTTAATTCCTTATCCCTTTTGTGTTTTGCACTATACCTGCAGAGCACATTGTCTTGTTAATGTCTTAACATTGTTAATGTGTTAATGCTGTGTTATTTGACTTTTCCTTGTTGGCCATTATGATTTCTTCCAGAGCTGTGTTGGGACATGCCAATGAGTGAGATACCTAATGGTAACATTTGTTCATTTGGCACCCGACTTGAATTTTTCATGAACTGATTTGGATTCTGAAACCCTTTGTACATGGTGTCACTCCCTGAAATGTGAACAGCCATGTTTGGTTTTCCAGCTAAGGTATATAGAGCCCCATAGTAACTTTGGTTTATGCATCTGGCATGCAGGAACAAGAAGTTGTTTTTATAAGTTTGTCATGTGTTATATTAAAAATGTAACTAAAACAAATTCCAAAGTGTTGGTGAATCTTTATAAATTTAGGTGTACGATATCATTTTCATCTGTGTACATGTTTTAAATTGTCAGGTTTCAGTTGTTTGCTTAAGCTTTGATACTGAAGAGATTTTTCCTGTTCATAAGGCAGCTTTCATAGCATTCCCTTCAAAGCATTAAACTAGCAAATCTGAGGTACAGCATGTATGTTTACCTTAAATCCTCGTGGCTCTGCAAAATACATTTGAATAACTGCACCTATTTATGAAGTACAAAGAATGTATTCCTTTATACAGCACAGGTCTCAGGAGTCAATTGCAGAGTTAGCAGCTTGAAGAAGGGAAAATCATTGAGTCTATTTTGACAAAGATATGTGCTTAGAGATGAACTAGAACAGTGAATATGAATGTGTCTTGGAGGCTGAGCAATAAGACTGTGTTAAAATTCAGAGCTGCCTGTACCTTTTCAAGTAATTCTCTTCTCTGTAAGGATTTTTGCCAGAGTTTTCAAGCAAGGGTCTCAATTATCATATTTTCAGTGAATCTGAAGGGAGTCCCCACTGTTCTGGTATGCAGCAGGTTGCTTCCTCTCAAATAGTGCAGTAACACCCAGCACATGAGATGCTGTTGGGCTGTGGTTTGTTACCGGGAGGTTGCATAGCTGAGGCACAAGACAGATTATTTGGGGGCAGATGAGGTTTAGCTATGTGAACACAAGGCATGCTTTGCCTCCAAATCATCAACTGTGACCTGGCTTGTTGCACTTAAAAGTGTAGATGTAGCACTTTGAAGTGTAGATGAGGATCCCCCTCATTATCACAGTAAGGAGACTTGCTTGCAGTGCTCAAGTCTGAAAAGATTAGGTCTTCATTTTTACTGCAGGTCTGAATTGTGTCTGTGCTTCCTGCCATCAGTTTTAAGACTTGCTTGTGTGGTAATTCACGTCTCTCTTTATTATGAAATAATGTCACATTATCTATTTTTTCTAGCCAGGCAACCCAATTATTTGAGCAAACACCTGGGAGCAGCTGAGGAATTAAGATTAAATTTTTATTTCTTTAGAGCATATGGAAAATGGAAGACTGATTTGACATGTGCATTTAAACTTGAAAGTCGGAGAATGACTTCTGGTTATCATTAAGAAAGTAAGAAAGTAGCTGGGAGAAAAGAACTGAAGGCCATGAGCTCTCTCTTTTCCCCTCCACTTTTTTTTTTTTTTTTTTTTTTTTTTTTTTTTTCTTCTTTATATGCTCTCAGGATGCACCAGAAGAACAGCTCCTGAATTTGTCCATCATATACACCATTGGATATGCTCTTTCCTTCTCTGCCCTTGTAATAGCAACTGCCATTCTTCTTGGATTCAGGTAACTGGCGAAGCTTTGAAGAGAATGGACTAAAGGTTTTATGTTTTTCTGTATGACAGTATCAGACTTTGACAGAAACATTTGATTATTGTTTGCTCTCCTTCCGTCACATCATTATTTCTCTATCTTTTGTCACTTCTGTGTTCCTTCCTAAAATAATTCCTTCTCAAAATGTATGCAGTTACCCATATGAACATGTGGAACAGGTACTTTTTATCAATTGGAATATTTTGTTAGGCAAGTTTTTATTTCAATGGAATTTCTGCTGGAAGAGGTGGTAAAAGAGAGAGATGCAAGTGTTCCTTCATGATCTCACCTTGCAGATGAGGCACAAATCTGAGATGAGCAAGAACATTTAGGAGAAAAATTTTCATCTTGCTTTGCTTGGAGTTACCCAGAGCATGAATCTCAGTCTGGCCTGTATCTCAGCCCTCACATGCAAGATGTGCAGAAATGTATTTTTGACAAAGTTTTTATTTTTGGAGAACTTTCAGATTTTTGTATTTTTTTTATTTTTTTTGCAATGTAGAAGAGAGTCTAATTTGAAACTTGAAAAGTTTGTGAAATATATTGCTGACAGCCGGCCATAGTGACATACTGAGTTCATCCAGGTTTGCACCTACAAATTCAACAGAGCATGTAAAAATTTAAAAACTCTTGGTTGCATATGTGAAAAATACTCTGTATGTTTGGTCAAAAAAAGAAATAAAAGACAAAACCCCCCACCAGACCAAAACACAACTTTGGATTCTAATAGGGATCTTTTCTTTTCCTCCGTGTAAATGCAAGAGATGTTTTGATTCCAGCCAGAATTTCCTTCAGTTCGGGGGTGCTGAGCACAGGAGAATGATACTTAGAAAACACAAAGATGAGATCCTGTTCTGTTGTGGGAAGTCTCTCTGCAATGAAGATGATCTCTACAGGCAGGATCCCATTACTCTTGTGTCCTGATGAGACTGCCTCCCTGGTACCCTTATTTGAAATCCAGTCATGGACCTTAAGTATGCTGATCCTTAAGAAACTTCCTTCCCTGACTGAAGAATTATCATTGCCAGTTATTAGTCATTTGCTCTGGTGTCTGCACTATGCTTTTAGCAAGGCAGTCCCTTTCCTTTCTTCCCTTATGTATTTAAAAAGATCAGTCATGTCTTTTAGCTTCTAATTTCCAAAACTGAAATGATGCAAGCCTTCTTACATGGAAGCATACATGTTAGCACTGTATTATCCCTTCTATTTCCAGTGAAGTACCATAGGTGGGCAATATCAAGAAAGTTTTAAAATTACTGCAGAAATCCACAGACAGGCTCACCCTCTGTGAATGCCATGTGATAATTATCATTTGTATGTGTTGTACGTGTGCAACTTTGGGACCTTTCTGAAAAAGCACCAGATGGTCTTGAAGTCTCCAGATGTCCCCCAGGATAACTGTTTTCTCCTCATTTCACCTATTAATTAATTAATTAATTCTTGAGTAATCTTAGCAGCCCAAATGTAAAGGTTACAGAGCACAACCATATACTTTTGAAGGAAGAAAGGATGTTTTCTGGCAGGGGACAAAGAGCAAGTTTGTCACCAAGGACTGGCAGGAGAGATGGAATTTTGATGCCCTGACTTTTGTGGGGTAATGCTTTAGCATTTTTTTCATTCAACTATGAAGCAGAGACTGAAGAAGTGTACACAAGTGTGTGCATCTCATTTTGAAGGTGAGGTTCCAGGGACATCAGAGGTACCAAGAGTCTTGTTAAAACTATGCTATCAATCTATTTTGTGTTCTCCTGTCGAAGCTGTTTACCAGGACACAACTTGGTCCTTGATCTCATGAAATATGAGACCTACCCCAATGTGAATTGCAGTTTCTGGATTCTGACTGGAATCTTTGGTCATCTCCCCAGAGTTGCTCAGCCTCAACAAATGGGGATCAAAATCTAATTCAATGACATGCAAATACTGATGGGCCTCTTAGAGAGTTCTTAGACTACAGAATAACCTTTATATTTGTCTTTAAAGGTGATAGAGTGGAGGAAACAGTATCTCTCTAGAGTCCTATTTTGCACCTTCCGAAAAAAATGGAAGGCAGTCTGTAATTTCCGTGGTGGAAGCTGAATTAGGCCCATAGCTTCATGACTGAAGCAATTTGAATAACTTGCATTTCCTGTAAAAAAATACTCTGTAACTACTTACGACCTATTTTCTTCAATTGCCTAATTTACATAACTTTTTTAATCAGATTAAAATGTGAAGCAGTTCTGAAGGGTACCAACATAGATAAGTCTTGAAATAAATTGTGGCTTAAAAGCGATACAAAAAATTCTATCTGACCTATGACAGACAAATTGCTCTTCAGCGCAAACCTCTAACTTTCAGACTGAGACAATTTTTCTACCAAAATGTATAAATCTGTAAAAACCAGGCATTTAAAGTATAAGTTCATTGAACGTTTTGCTGGAATAATTGCTGATTATCATATGTTATGTCTATCTTTTAGCATATTAAAAATCGTACCCAGTGTAACTTTCATTGAGGTAAAGTGTTTACCCTTGCTGAGCTGGCAGAAAAATGTTTGCGAATAAATCTAGTAAAATATTGTCAGTACTCTGCAACTGGATGCCATTTACATGACTGCAGTTTCTTTCGCTATCCCTTAATGTGCGTTGTTTTTTTTTTTGACAAGTAGCAATTTTATTGTCTTTGCAGCTGGCTGCTGAAACTCAAGAGGATTTTTCCTTTGTTTTTTGCTTCCAGTTCTGAATGCATAGGTGAAAAATCTGTTCCTTTTACTTCTACAGAAAATATTTACAATTCTCCGAGAAGGCAATTTGAATACAGATTTTTCTCTTGTTGTCAAAGGGTGATTTACAGATGTATGTTTTTTCATTGCGAGTTTGAGCACAGCCAGAAAGTGCACTGCACACCAGTCCTGAGCTTTGCCAAGCGCCAAAACTTGTGCAGTGACATTGGGGTTAGTTCAAAGCAATTAGCTTCAGGATTATTTGGAACTTGACTTTTTTAGTCCTTTCAGATAAGGCTTCTGAAAATGACTTTATTTTTACACTTTATGAGCTTTTGATTTTTTTTTTTTTTTTTAACGCACCTATCTTCTTCCTTTCCCCAAACATTGGCTCTAGGGGCTGAAGTTTTGAATGTGTTTTTCTTGATAATATTTTCTTCCCAAAGACAAGACAGTTTGAAATCCCTACAGCCATTCTCAAGTTATGGGATTGCCTCTGGTGCCTCATGATTTCTTACAGGGCTCATTGTTCCCTTTCTCAGTCCTGTGTCTGATGTTCCATCTTTTATGTAGCTAGTGGACCATGACTAGATTTTTCTTTTTACAGACATCTGCACTGCACGAGGAATTACATTCACCTGAACCTCTTCACCTCTTTTATCCTGAGAGCTATATCTGTTTTCATTAAAGACTCGGTGGTGAAGTGGATGTACAGCACAGCCACACAGGAGTACCAGTGGGAAGGACTTATAGCCTTCCAGGTAAGGGCAGACACTGTGGTTGTTCTTAGGATATTGGAGTCATCACTGTTGTGTCTGCATGACAGCAGGTAATTTAATTCTTTAGCTGATGGCATGATGTGTTTCTGTGGGAAAGTGACGTGTACCTGTGGGAAGTTTGTCCCCACTAGACAGAGGAACAAGAAGCTGATCTTTTTGCATACATATGTGTATACATACACCAGTGCCCATATCTTCTTTCTATGCTGCAGTTTTGTTTCTTTCTAGCAGTGATATGAGGGCATTTATTTTCCTAAGCCAGCACTTTTTGTGATAGAACTGTCCATCTGGTCAGTTGGTTGTCCACCAGCTAAGTTGGTTGTTTTTAGTCATTTCTATATAATCTCTTGATGACAGTAAAAAAAGGAAGTATCAGATTAAAATGCAAGTTTGAAAGCATTTAGAAAATTGGAGGAATAGGCTAATTAAATACTTCTAATTGATGAGAGAGGATATACAACTCTTCTGTAAATAATGATGGAAGAGTGCTCTTCTTCATTTGGATTTGGAATGCAAAATGTACTTGAAATATCAAAGAAAGGTAGCTTTATTATCTGTATAGAGCTCTTGTGACTCTAAAACATGGGTACAGCATTTGCAGTACAGGGTTGGAGTGGTAAAGGGAAACAGGGAAACTCTCCTGATGTATCCTTAGTGCCCATCCCTTTCTGACACTGCCTAAGGCAGAAGTGCTAAAACAATTTAGTGAATCTCATATGATGGTTGCTTTTTTTTTTTTTTTTTTTCCAATTTATCAGTTGCCAGAAAATAACATTGTAAAATTTAAACATCTTAATGGTTTGGAAATGTTCATATTGGATAGTCAGTCATTTCCTCTTTTCAAAAAACATACGCTTTATGGTTTTACACATGGTTTGCTCAATAGTGGTTTCATCAGGTCTGATGGATATATTAATTAGGTAATCAGGTTTCAAACTTATCTAAAGCCCTACTGCTCATCTCTGTAATTTATCATCTATGAGAGAATTTGCACTTAAATGGGGTGCACTGGCCAACATTGCTATTCTATGAAAATATCTTTTGCTTTAGCAAATAGTCAACCTTACAGCACCCACTCTTTTCTTTTTAATAGAGAAATCCTCAACTGCAAAATAAAGCATACAGGAAAGTGAAAGATTCACTGACTGTTCATCTTTATTCATCCTTTTCAAAATGAAATCCATTGCTTATTGAGGGGAAAATACAGAACACATACCTTTCTTTTTTTAAGGAGTAATATTGTTGAAGGCATCTGTCTGTGGTGCATAGCACCTATTACTGGCTTCTGTCCATTATGCAATAAAACGTGATTCATTTAGCAAGCTCTTTTTGTTGAGGAGCAAAAGAAGGAAAGAGAACCAATCTTTTGAGTTAGTATCCTTTTATTCTCAGTCTCTGTTGCATTACTTTGGGCTGTGGTTTTTCTGTAACAGGAATCACTCAGCTGCCGTTTGGTCTTCGTGATGATGCAATATTGCGTGGCTGCAAACTACTACTGGCTGCTGGTGGAAGGCATGTACCTGTACACACTGCTGGTACTTTCGGTCTTCTCTGAGCAAAGGATTTTCCGCCTTTATCTCTGTATTGGCTGGGGTGAGTTGATTTTTCTGTTTGCCTGTGGCTGCACTGGCAGGTGTATAAGAGGAAAACTTGCGTGTCTGTCCTAGTGCTGTCCAGTTCAAGTCCTGCACTCCGCATTCCTTTTTTGTTCCCAATCCCTTACCTTGCTTGGGCTGGAGAATGTGATCACAGCTCCTGGATGCTCATGGCACAGAGGCTGTGGGACACAGCAGAAACTCACCAAACCAGTAGCAGGCACATGGGACTTTCCCTGCAGAACATTAGATTCCCAGACCAAATTATGCGTGGGTGGTTCCAGCTGGGTGTGGACTTTCTGGACTTTGTGGATTTCATCTCCTGAAAGTTTCAAATTGCATTAAAAGATGTGTTAACTACATGTGGTGCAAAAGAGCAACGATGCTTTGCATCTGGGTGAGGACAACAGTAAAGAAATGGTGGCAGCATGAGGTGGGGGTGATGCCAAGGGGCTGATGAACAAGGGGCTGCTAGCAGGGAGGTGTCAAGTTGGCTAAGTGGCAGAGCAGGTCAAATAGGGATTGCCTGGGAAAAAAGGGTCAGGGTGCATGTGCCATGGGCACATGAGTGCTTGAAATCAAGGATTGTGATGCCTTGAAATCAGCTGGTTGAGCAAGGGTCACCTTCTGTAGAAGGGCTAAAGCTTTGATTCTTCCACTGTATAGTTCACCTGAAAATACATTACAGGTTGGGATTAATTCTATTTTTGGAGTGATCTTGCATGCACTTTTATTGCATTTTCTCCCTTCTTCTTCTCTACCCTCCCCTTTTGGTGAAATCAGGCTACTTTTGGAAAAATGAAAGTAAATCCAAGTAAATACTGCAAGTGCTTTCACAGATGCTAGTTTGAACATTTAAATTGCTTTAACACTCCTCCTCTCTCTATGGATTTCAACTGTGAATATTTTAGCAGATTAGTTCACTGGGAAAATTCATATAAATGGCATATTAGTGTGAATTACCCATTTCTACAAAAACGTGATATATAAGGGGAAAAGGTTTTCTGGCTAAATGATAGTAATAAATAAATAAATGCAAATAATAGCAGTTTCCTGCTGGAGATTTTTAATTAAAGTTCTCTGTCTTCCATATTCTTTCATATAAGGCATGTGGCAAAAACAGCATCATTTTGTTTAACATTTGAACTATATGTTTTAATTAGACCCTCAATTTAATTTAAAAAAAGGGGGAGTGGGAGCTGTCCTGAAGCAGTGACTGAGGTCATGAAAGTAAATCGAAAAGAAATTAGAATAAAATTATATCCAGTCAAATCCTGAGGGGATTGTGTTGTTTTATAAGAAAGGGTTAGTCTGCTTTTGGTCTGAATCACTTCTGAGTTTGTCTCCTGAAAATGCAGAAAGCAGAAACAGATTATGTTATTTACAAAAACGGTTTTGCTATTGTATATTGAATTTCTAGAGGAGTTTGTGGAAATGAGCAGCAATGCAAGAACTTGGCGCTAGATACATGGGTTTCATCCAAACTTCCTGAAAAAGCTCTGTCCGTGCCGTTCAATTGTTACCTGTACAGTTTCTTGCTCTTCCGTTTGTGTCTGCACACGCAAACCTTGCCAATCATTCTCCATCTTCAAATGCAGAAGCATCTGCTATTTCAGTGCTCCCAGATTAGTTATACCAAATAACAGTTTCATCTCTAACCAGTGGGAAGATTCAAAGATTTTCCCCTTTCTTTCTGTTTCTTTGTTTGTGATTCCATCTTTTGGGTGTTCAAGTCCCTCACCACGTGACTTTCTGCTGTATGTAATGCTCAGAGGAATTTCATTTAATTTGATTTTTGAGCTGCATGATAGCCTCAGTGTAATGCTGAGGCTTCAGAGAAAGCCAGTAGATTCCTGTTTGAACTGTTGTCCTGCTCTTTGAAATAGTTAATCAACTGTAAAAATAAAGCTGGAACAAAAAATAAATATTTATTTGATTGCCAGAACTAATTTGATACTCTGACCCTTTGTTCCATTAATGAGTTGTCTTCTTACAGGATAATTTTTTAACTTGTTCATTTCTCATCATTTGATGAATAATTATGTCAAAATATTTCATGTTCGTATTGCTTAAAAACAGTCACTTCATATTGTTATTTTTTACAATTATAACTGAAGATTGTGATCACTCTCAGACATGCTGGAGTCTGCTCCCCTGAAGCCCAGGGTACTGAGCTTGATGTACATCCTCCTCACTGCCCTAAGGTTCTTGAATTCCACCATTTCATGGTCACTGCAGCCAAGGCTGCCCTTGAGCTTCATGTTCCCCACCAGGTCCTCCTTGTGAGAACAAGATCCAGCATGGCACCTCTCCTCATTGGCTCCTCTGTCACTTGGAGAAGGAATCTATCATTAGTGTGATCCAGGAAACTCCTGGATTGCTTGTGTTCTGCTGTGGTATCCCTCCAGCAGATATGCGTGGTTGAAGTCCCCCAGGAGGACCAGGGGTTGTGACTACAGGGATGCTCTGTTCTGTCTACAGGAGGGCTTTCTTGTCAGGCAGCCTACAGCAGACTCCCCTATAATGTCACTTGTCCCTGTCTTCCCTTTAATCCTGACCCATAAGCACCTAGTTAGCTCGTCATCCATCCCCAGGTGGAACTCCATGCACTCCAGCTGCCATTGATGTGGTGACACCCCCTCCTCCTCTGCCTGGCCTTCCTGAAGAGCCTGTGGCATTCTGTTCCAACACTCCAGTGAGGAGCCATCCCACCATGTCTCTGTGATGCCAGTGAGATCATAGCCTTGTAGATACTGGCACTGGCATCCTGCTGGGAGGAGTGGGATGGATTAAAGATCCCATTCCCCAGTAATTTTAGTTTAAAACCCTCTTCCCAGGCTTGGCAAGCCCATGACTAAAGATGCCCTTTCCCTTCTCTGTCAGATTCAGCCCACAATAGACCAGTTGTTCCAAGATGTTCCAAATGTATTTTTTGTTATATGATAATATCAGGACAGTTCTAAAGTCAGTTATTAGACAGTAGTCCATTTATCATCAGTTCAAATGATTAATTATTCTTTTCTGTTCAAGTGTTTATAAAGGGAAAAGTCTGTTTGTCTTGCATTATTGTACTTTACAAAACCTAGAAAAGTCATAAAATCTTGATAGACCTATGAAAACTAATATAGTTTCATAAATTGTGAGTCATTTATATTAACATTATGTATATTGATAGGATTCTATGAACCTTCTCTATTACTTGTGAGGTAACTGTATTCCTAATGGCCACTTCCTTGCTGAGATTTCATGCCATACTAGGCTTTGAGATGGCGGTGTTAATTTTTTCCTATTTCATTTAATGTGCAATATGTCATGCTTATGTCTTCTATTTCTTTGTCAAAGCAGACTTTCATACATTTGTGTCAGCTTTAAGTTCTATGTATCTTACTGCAAAAACAATGGTATATTCCATTTTCAATGCTGATGGAGAAAAACAAGGCAAAAACACTTAGCAGCATCAAAACCGCAAAATTTTTAATAGGTTAATGGAAGAGCAGGTAGGTGAGAGGTTTTCTTTAACATGTGTGTCAGCAGAACAGCAGCTGCAACAGCTGTTGATTCACATAGCCATTTGCACTTGCAGAAAAGAAAATCTGTTGTTATACATTGCTGGTACCTGGTGCTTCCTTGAGAAATCCTCGCCCATGGATCTCACTTTGTAGAGAGAAGAAAAAACATTTATAAGAAAGGGGTGAAAAAAAAAAAAACAATTTAACTACTTAAGTTAATGATCAAGGTCATTACTTCTTTGGTGTTTTTGTTTCTCAGTATGTCCAGACTGGTCTGAATCAATGTCCAGGACGCCAACCAATCATGTCTGAACCCAAGGCAGGAGCTGCTGAGCCTGACATTGACTTTCAGCTATCAGTACTGTACTGAGTAGTCTCTGGAAAAGAGCAGTTTATACTGTAAAGCTGCAGTATCAGCAGATCTTAGTGGAAAAGGAACCTATTCACATATAGGAGTAGAGAGGAGGGAAGAATGGGGAAACAACAGAAAGATCCCACAGTGACTCTGAGCGTCCAGACCAGGAGACCATTTTCAGCACTAAAGGCTAAGAAGAAAATGTTAATAAACAGCTAAATATTCTCTGAGCTTCTGTGGTAATTTTACACCCAGTTGCACTTGCAGCAGGAAAATCACCATAAAAAAATAAATAATCTGCTTCCTTCCAAGCCTTGGCAATCCAAACTTGCTCTGAGGAAGAATACTTTGAGGAATGAAGCTATTTAAAGCAAGAAGCCTGGCTAGGGCATCAAAATCTACATCCTGATTGCAAGGAGGATCTGACTGGAGCAGAGCCAGTAAGAAACCTTCCTTCAGAAGTCCTGTATGAATTCACTGTAGCAACAGGATGCATTCATTGCACTGACCACTTCTTTTCTATTCTCAAATGAAAGCTCTGCTTCAGACAAGGACGTAAAAATAGATTTTGTGTCCAGACTGATCTTAGTAAGAAATGCATGTCAGGAGTTCCTCTTAATCCTCTTTGCTCGCTAAATGAAACTTCCATGATTTTCCTTTTTTTAGGAAGAACAAAAATGTTTCATCTTTTACAGTACTTTTACTATTTCTATATGTATTCTTATTTATTTATAATTTCTTTCAGTTTGTCAGAGCATCATTCTTGCATTCCTTCATCAGTCAGTTGACCAATTCAGACCATCTTGGATGCTTTCTGAGAGAAAGAAGAATGAACTTGGTCTGACAGCAGTAGTGTCCTTCTGGTTTATGTGCCTGATTTTCTTGGGGGTTGAACTTATCACACATAAACCCTTCTTTAAGGGTTTCAGCAGGATGGCAGTGCTCTGCTCCTTCAGAGAGAAATCTTCTTCAGAAAGAATCTCTAATCACACATGAGGATGAGAGGAGCTTCTCTTGCTCTTCATTCAGTCTTTCCTGGAATTGCCTCCACATAAAGTGAGGTACATTACAAAGCTACAAATCATAGTGTCTGTAGTAGTGTCAAAGCTACAGTGGTGTGTTTGTAAGAATGGA